ACGGATTCCGATCCGCATCCATTCCGCACTCTGTGTTAATGAGGGTTCCCTGTGAATGATGCAGAAATCACTCCACAAGAACATACGTTCTACTGTGTTGTTAACCCATCTTCACCTGTTGTTCGATTCCGATCATCTCTCCCATTTCCTTTCCTCGCACCTTCACCTCGCTCTGTCCAACTCCTCACACTTCCAGCCAGAAGCTGAGCTTCAAGGAGCGCGTGAGGATGGCGAGCCCTCGCGGTCAGAGCATCAAGAACCGGCAGACGGCGTCTGTGAACGACCGGCGCTCTCCTGTGGCTGATGGTGGAACAGAAAGCACAAGTCCCACCAAAGTCCAGAAGAGCTGGAGCTTCAACGACCGCACGCGCTTCAGGCCGTCCCTTCGCCTCAAGAGCCAGTCCCGCTCCACCACTGATGGTCAGTAACACTTGGGCTGCAGATTATTCAGATTAGAGCAGTAACCACCTTAAACAATAACCAGATACGAACAAAAACAAGTGCAAAACGTTTGTTATGAAATAGATTCTAAAATTATTTTTTTATTTTTCAACTAAAATTCAACAAATGAAAGCTTCTCCATGTTTTTAGATTTAACTTATGTTGCATCCACCTCTGCTGATTTTATACATCTACAAACCGCTGGGTGGAGGAAGCTGCTGCCGCCCTCCACCCCCACAGTGGGGTGGGGTTCCAGCCAAGGCAGCTGACGGAGAGAAATCAGTTAAACATTTTTTCACTGCAAAGATTTCAACTTGAAACCGTAAAACAAGATTAGATCGCTTAGCCCCGCCCCTTTTGAGGTCACAGTGTTCCCACTTCTCTGGCAGTATTTACAGCTGAGGTATGAAATGACATCATTTGATCACTTGATGTCATAGTAGGTTTAAGATGCCTAACTGATGGGTTGAGGGAATTGGTGTCTAGATAATAATACATTTTTAATTAAAAGCCACGTTGTTCTCTCTTTAAATCCTTCGTTGTCGCATTTTCATCGTCTGCCCGTTTAGACATTTCAACAAATTAATTGATTTCCACCCAAAATTAGTTTGATACCAGGAATCTGAACACTCCTCCCCTCACCTGATACCAGGGTCTCTTTGATCAGGTCAGGGGTGAGCCACAAGAGGACATCTTGGAATTTATTTTTATTTTTATTGTTTTAAAAAGTTAACACAGAAAATTGTTTTTTTCCAAATAATATCAGATTTGAAGCATAATCCTACTCCTGATTTTAATCTGGACTCCCCCAAAAAGGGGCGCGGCTTCCCCAAACAGAAGGAACTCGCCATGTTTCTTAAAGGGGTTCTAGGCAGTTTTGGCTTGCTTTTACCACCCCCTAGTGTCCGTTTGTAGAATCAAAACTGAAATCTATCTCCTCGCAGTGCATTCATCTTTTTACACTTTTATCTAACAGCTGAAATGTCTCCCAGCCTTCACTGGTGTCTGCAGGAGTGATGCATCACTAAATTAAACAAATCAGCTGTTTTTGTGATATGAAACATGCAGGAAACGTGCTGGAACCAGACTGCAGCACCTGGTATGTCAGCTCAGCTTTTCCTCAAAGAGCGGCTTGCCAGGCTGAAGTTGCAAATGTGGTGTTCTGGCTACAGAAGGCGGTGGGGGGTCTGAGTGACATTTCATTAACCCTGTAAAGGCTCATTTTAGCTCATACTGGCTCAAGAAAATTATTTAAAATATGAAAAAGTAGCAAAGTATCTCTTTAAGAATGGGGCAGCATTCCAAAGTTCACTTTTCTTGCAATATTTGATGATTTAGCAGAAAAATGTCTTTAAGCCATTTTTCAAGTATTTTGTCTTTTTCAATCAAAAGTCTTTAAAAGTGAAATTGGTTTATAATCCATTTAATCTATTAATCTGGAGCAATGACTGACAGCACCCCCACCCACACTCGTGAGTGGCCGAGCCTCAGTACAGTGCAGCTACGTGATCTGGTACCGCCATTGTCACTGGGTACTTTTTAGCCAGAAGCAACGGCAGATTCACTAAAATGTGAAAATAATGTCTGCAGCAGCTCATTTATACAAACAAACAACAATCAATCGAAGCTTTATTTATAAAGCGCCTTCCGGAACCCTGTCGGGAAGCCCAAGGCGCTAAACATGGTCCATGAGAAATGTGAAACATGATGAATAAATCAAAATTAAAAGCAAGCAATTCAATTAGTGAAAAAAGGTAAATCATTGAAGTAGAAGACAAATGGGTAAAACAAGGGATAAAGAGACCAATGAAAACAGGGAAATAAAATCAATGTAAAAGAGGGCCTGACTCAAACACGTTCAGGGAATGCCAAGCGGAGGTGACTCTTTAGGCGACTCTTAAAGACTGGCAGAGATGGGGACAGCCTAACTGAGGGTGGCAACTGGTTCCAGAGTAACGGTGCTAGGACTGAGAAAGCCCGGTCCCCGCGAGTATGACACCTAGAACGAGGGACAGCGAGCAGGCCTTGGTCAGAGGAGCGCAGAGCGCGTGATGGGGAATGTCTGTTCTGGAGGGTGGCTAGATAGGGGGGACCACCACCCTGGAAGAAATTATAAACAAAGACGAGGATTTTGAATTGTGAGCGATAGCAAACCGGAAGCCAGTGCAGGGAGGCCAGAACCGGACTGATGAGGTCCCGTTTCCTGGTCCCAGTCAGGAACCTGGCTGCGCTGTTCTGCACAACCTGTAGGCGACGCAGTGATGACTGACACAACCCTGCATATAGAGAGCTGCAGTAATCAAGCCTAGAAATAACAAAAGCATGGAGTACCCGCTCCAGGTGGGCTCTCGACAGCATCGGCTTGATTTTTACAAGGAGTCTCAGGTGAAAGAAACTGGACCAGATCACAGAGTTAATGTGAGCATCAATTTTCACCCCCCAGACTAGTGACAACTGGTTTTGAGTAGGGAGAAAGAGGGCCAAGATCAACATAACAACCCACAGCCCTGCTGTTGGGGTGGAAAACAATGAGCTCTGTCTTTCCCTCATTCAGATGCAGAAAGTTGGCCATTAGCCAAGACTTCACCTCGTTAATACAGGAGACAAAGGACTGAATAGAGTGACCTTTCTCCTGACACAATGGAGAGTAAATCTGGCAATCGTCAGCATAGAGATGGAATGATAGGCCATGTTTACGAAAGATTGACCCCAGAGGTAGCAGATAAATGGCAAACAAAAGAGGACCAAGAAGCGATTCACTGTCAGGACAGCAGATATGGATGTTAAAATCACCCAAAATAGGACATAGTTGTAGAAGCGATATGTGTCATTTTCTTTCTGCATACCTAAGAGAAGGCTTGGCCTCATGTGATTGGTCAATTGATTGTGGAAGCACCAGCCTACTTAAGCCAACACAGATTAGACTCAGGTGTTGCTGTGATGGGACAGTTTTTTTACAGCAAGCTGCAATTCATTTTTTTATTTTTAACCGTGTCCTGTCTGGCTGTGAAGCAAGCAGAATTGATGTCTGAATGCTGGTGACAAGCCTTAGCGATTTACTCTCAGGTGGAGCATCAAAGCGTCTGCTTTTAATGTCACGCCTGATACTTAAAACTTTATTGTTATTGTTTTTGAATGCTTTGTAATTCCGACCAGACACGGAGACAGAGGTGAAAGAGAAAGGAAAAGGTGGGGAGAGGGGGGGGTCCACAAAAATAAACAATGAACAAGAGTCTGCTTCTAGACCTGCAGAAAAAGACAAAAAAATAAAGCAAAAGGACAAAAAAAAGGAACACAACAACAATACAAGATCTAGCTATCACTGCGTCGACTTGATGAAGAAATATATAATCAACATTGCTTAACTGAAGAATCACGATAATAAATCACAGTGCATTAAGTGCCCACCATAGTCTTAAGACCTGTGTTGAACGTACCCAAGCCCATACTTTTGAGAGCACCATGTGAGCACCTGTGTGTGTACACGCGCTTGTTTATGTAAGGTTTCTCTATAGGAGCGTCCAACAGAGAGTGTGAGGGACCACAGATCCGCCCCCCAAAGATGCGTAGGAGACGGGGGGAGCTCCAAGTCCCAGAGATCGAGGCGCTGCCCCAGAACACAGGAACCCCAAGGAGACTGCAACCAGAAGGGCCCCCGCCCCCCTCGAGAGGCACAGAGGATCGCCCCGGGGGGCCACAACCAGCAGCCGGCAGAGTCCCGGGAGACATCAGTGGCAAGCCCACAGGCCCGCCCACAGGCCCGCCCGCAGCCTCCCACCCCCTAGCCGGCCGAGCCCGGGACCCAGCGACCCGGGACCCAGGGGCGACCACCCCCGCCAGGGACCCAGCAGAGCCCAGGGACCCAGACCCCACCAGGCAGCCACCGGGATCTATCAGGCAGATGCCAAAATCTTAAACCCCCAGACCCGGTTGCCACGAACACTCAGGCAGACCATGGCACAACCCCTCACACCAGGTGTGGCAGGGGGAGGGGGGACGAAGATCTATATCATCAAAAGAAGTTCCAGGAGAGGGGCGGAGTCAAAGGCCCCACCTGACATATACAGTCATACACAAACACAGTCACACACTCCCTCCCTCATGCTCACACATACACATACAACCCAAGACTTACAAAAATGCACGCCGGACACCCACTCATGCTCCCCATACACACCCTATTCACTCTGGTCCCGGTACTGCTGCACATGGGGTACAACCATCACCGGTAACCAGAGTTTGACCCTTTCTGCTGGGGTGCTGATGAGCAGGCTCCCCCGCCCAACGCTGAGCACAGCAACCCACCTCCTCAGACCCTAACCAGACGGCCAGATCTCCCTCCTAGCCTCCAGCCCCAGGAAGCCTAGCAACAACAGAGGTGGCAAAGACCCCTAGTCTCTCTCCGCCTGCTCCAATATAGTGTTGTGTGATCATGAGGTGTATTCCATGGCTGTGGTGAGCGGGCAGTGCGGGCATCATCCGGCCTATGCTAGCTGATGCCACCGCACCACCCCACCTCATGGATGATCTTAAAAGTGTGCCAACAGAAAAGGATGCCGTCACCATGGCAAAGGACCTTATGTCCATTTGCAGCAAGGGAGGTTTTACCTTAACTCAGTGGACTAGCAATAAGAGAAATGTGCTTCAAAACATTTCAGAAAGCCACAGAGATCAAACACTCTGTGACTTAGACTTGGATAAACATAATCTACCTGTGAGTAGAGCATTAGGCATGTTATGGTGTGTTGAAACTGACAACTTCATATTCAAACCAAAGGTGAAAGAAAAGCCTGCTACCAAAAGAGGAATGCTGTCAGTATTCAGCTCAGTGTATGATCCATTGGGATTCCTAGCTCCTGTCATTTTACCTGCCAAGTTACTCTTGCAGGATCTGTGTAGACTGAACTGTAGTTGGGATGATCCTGTACCTGATGGTTTCCAGAAGGGATGGGAGAAATGGTTAAGAGATTTGGAAAGTT